TGTTAAATTCTCTAGTGAATTGATATATCACATATCCATATTTATTATGAAAAATATTCCCGATAAAAGTGGTCACTGCGGCCAAACCCGAGGTCACAGGACAATATAAATTACATATTCAGACTCAGCATTGAATGGGCTTTCATTTCCAATCAACAAATCAAAAATGCCAGCTTAGGCGAATTTCGACCATATCCTTTGTAACTTATTAATAGGTTTATATGAAATACAAGTGTCTATTTAAAACCTTTTAGTATAATTGAAATAAACTGGTCATAATGATTTAAAATACTCATTAAAAATCTTATTATTAAGTTGTTTTAAAAACAAATAAAATCACATATTTTATTTATAATAATGCTCTAGCAACCAAGATTGAGCACATACATATTTTAACTTGTTATATACGTAATAAAGTATATTTTAAATTTTAAAATATTTATTTAAAATGTCAAATCAACTAATAACTAAGTTACATTTAATAATGATAAAATTAATACTTTATTATAATCGCGCACATGGTATAACTTTTACAGGTCTAATAATAGATAAAGACTTTAAAATTAGCCAGATTAGACTACTAAAATATTATGGATATTTCATTTTGCTTACAACTATGATTTTCTACCTAGTATCATTTCCAATTGTATATTCCCATATTGAAAATATCATTGATGATTTAATTGGGGAAAATGTATCCAGAGTAACTAAATTATTATTCTTTATTTTAATAATATTAAGAAGTACCCAGCATATTATAGTAATTTATACATTAAATTTTAAAATAAATTCTAAAATTTTAAATAAATGCTTTAAAAATGTCCCGTTTTACTTAAACTATAAAATCATCATGGTCTGTATTATCTGGATATTATTAATAATGGTCATGTATTTTTTATTAATCGGTTACGTTATGAACACAGTTCATAATAAATTGAATTTATTGCAACTTAGTATGGTAGATAACGTATTTCAATATACATCAACATGGTCAATGTCGTGTCTAATCTGGATAATTGCACTCACCTTTCAGCATAAACTTAATTTAATTATTAATAAACTTGCTTGTTTTAATAAAGGTATATTAAAAATTTGTTATATTTTTTTTGATAAACATTATTAAAAATTAATAATTTGTTTTTTATAATTAGATCAAATGTTCAATAAAATAAGCACATTATCTGTAACAACCAATGCACCTTATGATTTGAGCCATGTCATTTCGGAAAATCTAAATCAATTTATTAAATTAAATAAACTGATGGACACTATTAATAATAAACTAAATCTGGTAATAATGTTCAAGATAATCACTCCGATATTGTACACAATGATAAGTATATCTACAGCGGCACAAATGAGCAAGTTCAATTCACTCAAGATACATGCAAATTCTATTGCTATAGTAACTGTGCTGGTTGTTTTGGATGTAATTGCTATGTGTTTGATTTGCGATTCAGTTGAACAAAAGGTTATAAAAATTAGGGCTAATTTGAATGCAATGAATACCCGGGATATGACGGACCGTGAGTTTCGGGAATGGCTTACGTTTGCGACTGTAATGCGAAATACGCGTACATTTGGGTTCACTATCGGAGGGTTCGCTGCACTCAACAAATCCACACTTATTGCCGTAATTATTATATTTAAAAATAATTTATACACTAATATTGTTCTAATATATATTTAATCTGGCAGATTTTTACATTCGTACTCAATTACACGGTCATATTGTTTCAAACATCTCAATAGTATAATTACGCAAGCTACATTCACAGCGATATTTGGTACATTACATTCATTATACCATTGATTTGCAAATATTTAAATCACCTAAAAATAGCGATGTATTAACTTAATAAACTTATAAATGTTTCACAGCACTAGTTATTTATTTCCATTATAAACTTAATAGTTATTATAATTTTATAAATATGCAAAATCAATTAATAAATAATTTATATTTATTAATGATAAAATCAATACTTTATTATAATTGGCTTAAGATTTACAGATTTAATAATAGATAAAAACTTTAAAAACCAGATTAAATTAATAACGTATTTTGGATATTTCATTTTGAAATAAATATTTTTAATAATAGATTTTGAAAATTGAAATTGTTGAGTAATTTATTAATAGTAAATTATTTTTTATTTAACCCTGCAACACTTCCACCATCAACAATTAATAACGCTCCAGTTACAAAATTGGCATTTGAGCTTGCTAAATAGCCTACACAATTTGCAATGTCGACTGGCTCGCCATGTGCGCTCACATGCTGTACAAATTTTGCCCACAATAAATCAGCTTGCTCATCTGTGCAACCCATTGTTTTATAGCATTTTGTGCGCACCAAACCAGGACTATCAAGGTAATATTATAAAATTATGATAACTAAAATATATACTGTATATCCCGTAATAAAAATGTTAATTATTTAAAAATGTTAAATTATTTTAATAGTAATCTTAACCAATATAATTTGTAAAAATTAATCATGTATTGTACATACCATACGGCATTAACACGAACACCATGGTCAGCCAATTCAATTGCCATACATTTGGTAAACATATTGAGAGCAGCCTTTGACATACAATATGCTGAATGGTTCTTGGCCTAATTTTGTATCAAGTTCAAAAAAATTCATCACTTAAATAATACTATAAACTACTACTTACGGGTTGAATACTGGCCACACTAGATATGATGACTATACTACCGGCGCTTAACTTCAAATATTTAGCGCATAAATGAGTCAATAATACGCACGGATTTAAATTAACATCAAGCACATTCAATTGATTTTTGATGTAATCCGGATGAGTTATGGGGGTCAGGTCAAGGATACCGGCGCAGTTCACCAACACGTCTATCCGTCCAAACCTATTAATGGTTTCAGCGACCAGTCCTCTAATATCGGACTCCCGGCGCACGTCTACCACCACTTCGAGTATAGCCGACAACCCTATCAGTGATACTGAGGCGCACTCGTCAGCGACTGAACGCACGTCTCGACCGTCGAGACCAGTGATGACAACGCGGGCACCGTTTCGGGCAAATAGTAGAGCAGTGGCGGCGCCTATACCTGAACTCGAGCCAGTGATTAGGACTACCTTTCCCTCGAAATTATATACAATACTCATTTAATATTTGAGAATTTATTTTATAAGATTAAAATAATTTTTGTTAAAACTTTATAGTATTATTATATAATATATAAGTGTAATGATATTAGTACTGAACATGTACTGTATATTACTGGCATATTAAAAATAAACTGTTTTATTAAATGTTATTTTATTAAGATGATGATTTGCAAATATTATTGAATTCTAATTTTAATTATTTCAAAATATACTTAAATTTAAATAAACAACATGATAAAACATTTTAATTTTACTAGAAAATAGCTACAGGTATAACAAACATTAAGTTCACAAATAATTTAATAATGGCATTAGAAAATAAATACTGACAGATTTATGTTACATTAAATACTACTGTATGTCAAATATTTATTTGATTTAATTTGGGTATTTTATTATTATACATTTAAATAACCGTGGTCAATTATGTTTTAAAAAGTATAAAATATTTATTTTAAATATTTTTAATTTAATATCAAATAAACAAATTAAATAATATTTACGTTATTAAATATTTAATTGATAATAAAATCTAATTAAAAATCTATTACTTTAAAAAATCTTTTTAAAAATCATTTCAATCACCACTTCATCTCCCGTTCCCACAGAGACTCCAAACCTGTTCCAATCCACTCATCCCTAACCCTCTCATCAATCAAATCGCTCTCATCTCTCGACATAACAGCCCTCCAGTCGCCGGCAATACCTTTCCGGAAGTGTTCAGTCAACTGATGACTACTTTTCATGGGTTCAAAAGTAGACGCCTTTACTATACTATCCAATAGTATCTCTTCGGTAGTGTCGTCCCCTCCATCGCACCGGTCGTACAGTCGGTCCACGTATTTGGTGCCCAGAAATGAGGCGATTCTCACAATACTGTCCCTCGGATTCGCTAACATCTCCTCATATGTAATGAGAGTACAGTTCCTATCCATCCGGTGCTCCCAATACGACTGAATCGCCTCAAAGTAGTCGCCGTACGGAACTTCTCCAGTGATCCATATCTTAAAGAAATCGTGAAAATCGAGATCCAATTGAACGACACTTTTCGCATAATAATAATACGAAACGCAAACGTCTTTGGGATTTCGCAAAACCATTAAATACTTTGCGTCCGGACTATAGGCCAGGGATGTGAAGCACATGTTTGTCCATATAAACCAACAATCGTCGGCATCCCTGTCCACGCCGATACCCAATTGTCTCTCATGATGGCAAGACTGTCCACTGCCCTCAAGCCATATATTCAAGTATGTTTCCGTCAATACATGTTTGAGATCATTGCCACCCAGTAGTTACATGACGATATAGGTTGCCCACCAGGTGCCCGATTTAGGGTATGTCATTAATATGCGATCGCCATGTCCGGGCTGGTAGTTCAGGGCAAATTCTATGGATTGAATGTGAACGCCGTTGAATATTGGAAAGTTTACAGCACGTACTGTTTCAATAGACTTCTCCATGATAAGTTATTTGATTATTAATATGAATTAAACTTGATAAATGTAAATTCTTAATTTTATTCAAGTAAATAGCATTTAAAAATTTTATTATTAAAAATTGTAGTTATTTTGTACAGTCTACAATAACTAAAAATAAAAATATACTGTAAATGATGAAGCTATAATAAAAAATTTGCAAACTAACACCGTATGTGTATTACTGAAATATTATGTCATAATTCTTTAGCACTTACCAAGTACATAATACTTTTTTATAAGCCACTTTAAGACGTTAATTTTTTCTCATTAAGCTAGTGGTAAACTAGAATCAAATTAAATTAAAACAAATTTGGTTCAAAATAATACAATAAACTAAAAACTATTTTAATTTATTAATATAATGCCTGACGCCAGAGATTTCACGGGTAAAGTAGTGTTGATCACCGGCTCGAGCACTGGAATTGGCGCCGAAATTGCCGTCGAGTTCGCCCGACTCGGGGCGCAAGTGGTGGTCACCGGTCGGGACGCCCAGCGCGTGTCAGATGTGGCCAAACAGTGTCGGGAAGTGTCGCCAAAAGGTCTGAAAGCGTTGGAAGTGTTGGCGGATATGAGTGTCTCAGAGGACTGTCGGCGACTCATTGCCACCACAATCGACACATTCACGCGACTCGACGTACTGGTGAACAACGCGGGTAAAGGGGTTTTAAGTACCTTAACTGACCCGGATATTATGCACAAATACCGTGACTGTATGGACACGAACCTGCGTTCAGTCGTACTGTTAACCCACTTATGTGTCCAACATTTGGTTAAAACTGGCGGTAATATCGTTAACATATCGAGCAACGCGGCTATTAAACCGGTTTTAAAATAAGCAGTACTTTTATAGCAAGCTAATTTTTATAATTTTTTAAAATAAACTTTTACAGACACCTAGACTTCCCTTATATCGTACTGCAAAGTGTGCGTTAGATATGTTCACCAAATGTGCGGCACTAGAGTTAGCCCGCAATGGCGTACGAGTCAACTCTATTTGGTATTTCATAATCATTTTTAAATAAACCTGGCTCATTTCATTTATGTGATATTTCTGTTTTTAAATAAATATAGTGCCGGTGCTGTGAGCACTAACTTTCTATTGACTATGGGGTCTACAAAACAGGAGTCCGATGTCAAGTATAATGAAATAGCTATGAAAACACCGGTGGGACGGGTGGGTGAGCCCATAGACATCGCTAACGCCGTGCTATACCTGTCGTCACCCGACGCCCAGTTCATAACTGGAAGTTGTTTTGTATGCGATGGGGGCTATGTCCATATATGACCATGATACATTTATACACAAATGAGTAGTTTTACTAAAATAAATATTAGCCTATTAATTATATTAATTATATTGAATTTATTGATTAAATAATTTATTTAACAATATAACTGCATTAAAATGCACATGGTTTTTTAAAAACATTATTTCAATCACCACTTCATCTCCCGTTCCCACAACAATTCCAATCCCGTTCCCATCCACTCATCCCTAACCCGCTTATCAATCAAATCGCTCTCATCTCTGGACATAACAGCCCTCCAGTCGCCGGCAATACCTTTCCGGAAATGTTTATCTCCAGAGGGATGACTACTTTTCATAGCCTTAAAACTGGACTCCCTTTCTATGCGATCCAATAGAGTGTTACCACTACTACCGACGGCGTCCCCTCCATCGCACCGGTCGTACAGTCGGTCCACGTATTTGGTGCCCAAGAATGAGGCGATTCTCACAATACTGTCCCTCGGATTCGCTAACATCTCCTCATACGTAATGAGAGTACAGTTCCCATCCATCCG